TAAATGAAATGAAGCATAACAACTTATACATCAAGTTGAAAAAAGTAGGATAAAGGCCAACAATGTCTTGGTAAACCCCTACTTGGTAAGTCTAGTTCCACATGTTAAAACAAGGAAATATTGGATGGAATTTTTGTTTATTCTAAAGTTTTTATTCTAAAATCATGATGCATGTCGTATGACTAGGAATAGACATGATTGTCTGAATCATGTTTATACATCGATGCTTCTAACCTTATGGTTCTTAGTTTTCTGTGTGCTTGTTGTTAATATCTTAAACTTGTGCAATTTTTTGTTATCTAGGAGAAGGCTCTTCCAGTGCAACAATGCTCTTGCTTCCCAAAAGAAAATACCAACCTAGCCACATTAAGCGTAAGAAAACCCATGGATTCTTTGCTTGGTAAGTCCATCCCTTATCATCTATGATATCATGGTGCAAACAAATGACAAACTGTTGAACCTTTACTATTTTAATCGATGTTCTTATTGGGTGTAAATAGCAAGGAGACCAAGGGTGGATGGAAAGTGATTGCTCGAAGAATTGTAAAAGGACGAGCAAGAATCACTCCTTTACAGTGGTCATGGTTTTCGTGGAACCAGAGTTTTATCCAACAACCCTACCAAGATTAGATTCATTGCTTGTAAAGGCAATGGTTTTCGTGGAACAGATGTTAGTTTTTCTTCGTTATGGGTCTTGAGTGCGTGCAGACACCAAGATTGGGCACTCAAGGTGAGCGCTCCTGTGAGGATCATGTTTGTTGATGAGGAGGATAGAGGATAAGAGAAGATTAATGGCGTTAATGGGGTTGATGAAGTTTGTTTCTCACAATACATAAACATGTGGATCTAATCAGTGACAAAGCAAAAGAATTGGAGAATAAGCTCTCATTAATCAGTTGTGAAACAAATATGAAACAGTGGTTTTATAAGAATAAACGGATAATGAGAACTTATAGCCGACAATTCGGTGTAGTGCTGGTCGGAATTGCAACTGTGAGTGATGAAGCAAGAAGCGGTGGTTGGAGTTGCAATGGCAAACGGAGAAGCAGTGGTAGCGTCGGTGCTCTGTGACAAGTTGCAACAGTAAAAATAAAGAGGGTTTATTTTAGGGTAAATATGATGTGAAGCATGGGATAACTCTTCATCCCATACAACAACTAGTGTGGTTTAATCCATGAGATAAACCCATGGATGAGAAATTGGCCCATGGCGTGGACCAATCCACGCATAGTCCACACCACGAACCAACTGAACGTCCTAAGCAACTGTTGCATAGACCAAAACGTAATATCTCATGGCAACTCCATGAAAAGGGTGTAAACCAAGCCAATTCACACACAAGTTTTCGGTCACTTCTCTCTACAAACCAATATTATATCTTAGTCCAATTTGCTACTGTCTTATATAAGGTTTCATTAGAAAATCTTCAACTTTGCTGGTTGTAGTTCTCACCAAGGTTTTGTTGTATATTGGGAATGAATTTTCTTGTAACTCAACAACAAATTCAGTGAGACTGAGTGGGGGCAAATAATGTTATAAAGATAGTTTCTTTAGATTTGCCTCATAGCTACTTCTCTAAATTTTCGTGAATAGTAAATACAAGTCATTGAAAAAACCTACAAACTTGCTAGGCATATGATTTAAAGATAAAACTCACAAGCATGGGTTTCTTAAGACATAGTTATGATTTTACAAACTTCTTCAAATATTATCCAAGTTTCGGGCCTATTCGTTTGCTTTGAAGTCTAACATTGAAAGTGCAATAATTACATTAAAAAGTATATTGGTATTGGTGAACTTTTCTTTGCTCTGAACTCTGAATTTAGATAATGTTGTTCTGAACTCTAAATTATGAATTTTGAAAATTATCAAATATGAAATATTCATTTTGACCCCATATATGAGAGCTTTTGTTTGTCTTTTTTGAGGTATAATTGGAAAACAAAATTCGTATGATCGCACTTTAAGAGATAAGGAATAAGAGTAAACGAACAACTGCTTTTCTCTTAAAGTTAAAAGATTCATCTTAAGAGATAAGAGTTAAGAGTAAATCTCTTATAGGCATTCTCTTATGCGCCTCAAAAGAACAAAAAAGGAGGAAGAGGGGGAATATGATGAAGGGATGCAGAAATGGAAGTGCCATTGATTTTGGGGTTTGCTAGAATTAACGTTGTTGATATTAAATTATAGAAGAATTGTCTTTAACTTTTTACGTTTTTTACGTGGTAAGTGGTTGTTTCACAATTTAATATAAAATTAAACGTTTTTGAAAAAAAAAACACAAGGGAGAAATGCCATTAGACTTTGTGACGGGACATTTAGTAGGTGTTTGGCATAGGAGCATTTCACAAGAGTTCCATTTTTATTGATGTATCATGCGCGCCACACCAACAATTAAATGGAATCAATAAAAAACGACATTTGGCAGCCATGTTTATTGAAAAAGATGACAATGATTAGTTTTGGGATCCGTTAAAGGAGGGGCTTATTGAAACGTCAAATTCCGGTTTCTTTAATTGCCTTGGTGATATTGAATCACCTTGGCAACATGGCATTGAAATTTGAAAAAGTTGTATACTTTTTGAGATGCCACATAGTTGTCATTATAAAATATATTATAATATTAAGCCAAATCACTTTAAATGCCCAGTCAATCAGCACAATCACTTATGAATCAGGGCCACTTATGAAACACTTCAGTGCCAAACATCACTTTAAGGTATATAGTTTGAAAGTTTTTTATTGCAGTAATTTTTAATTTTTAATTTTTCATGTGTGATGAAAGAGAGAAAAGGAGACTCCATGTAAGGGATATGGTTGGGGACCCCTTTTTCACATGTACAATGAAGGAGAGAAAAGGGAGACTTTGTTATGTCAAGGGCTTCAACATAGATTGAGTTATTTTGAATAAGCCATCAAACTTAGTTTTATTTGAGAGTGAAATTTTGAGCTCAATGTAAATATCAATGTTTAAAAAAAATGAATTGGAAACGAAACCGTTATGACCACCGGTTTTTGGGTCAATGGTCCAATCGTTAGGCTCGAATGGACAGTCCATTCTGACAAACAAATTAAAAAAATAAAAAGTGGTAAAAAACCGCTGAACTGGTCGATAGTTCGACCGCTTGGGTCAACAAGTTGTTGATTTTTTTGACGGTTTTTGGCCAAAACCAGATTTGGAGTAAAATGGAACTGGTTGCCTGAACGGTTCTCGGGCTGAACGGTTTGTCCATCCAAGTCAATGGCGGTTCGAAAACCTTGGTAAATATATATGGGCTCTTTGGGTTTCTCACCAAACATAGCTTCATGTTTTTTGGAGTGGAGCCCATATTACAAGGCCCAAAATTATTGTTGCATGAAAGCCCTCTCAAATGTGGGCAATGAGAACACCTCCCATGAATGACAAGTTGACAACATACAAACAAACTCAGATATCCTACCCAAACTCCCATGAATGATAAGGGAGATGTTCTCAATGTGTGACTGTAGTGCTTCGTGAATAGGAATGTGGGAAGAATTTGTGGGTATGAATTCTGAATGCCATGGAGATGTTCATAATATGCAACTGCAATACAATGTAATGTGGGTAGGGATGATCATGTATGATCTGGCCCCATAAATTTCTGAGGGTCCGTTTGGTTCGTAGTTATTATCAAAATCAAAATGGGAATGGTCTATTCCCATAGTCTATTTGGTTCATACACGAATGAGAATGAGAATTAAAATCAGCAGGAATGAGATTTTATTCCTAAGGAAAGAACAGGGAATGGCCATTCCAACAGGAATAAGAACGGGATTCCGATTCTGCCCAACCAAACAGTTGGAATTGAAATAGTCTGTTCAATTTCTAATTCCGAACCCTTATTCCTGCAAACCAAATAGACCCTGAGTTTGGACAGCCACATTTTTGTGAAGCCTGTGCTGACCTAGACCCGCATCAAGCCCATACACAATGCGGGCTAGGCTAGGGCCAAGCAAGCTATAGGTCCAATTGGCTTGGGCTGGCCTGGAAATTATTGCATATAATATTATATACTGCTATATCTTATATTATGTATAATATATTACATACATGATATAATATTTTACTAAATATATATCTATATATAAATACAGAATATTATATTATATATTACTATATATTCAATAACTATGAACATAAAAATTAAAATTTAATTCACATGGACCAGTCCCATGTGACCCGATCATGTAACATCAGGCTTGGGTATAGGCTAGGCCAAGACCTGGACAGGCCTTAATACTGTTGATACTCTATAAAAACGTAACCTTGCCCAGGCCGGCCCGACCATATCATCCCTACTCATGGTTTTGGAAATAGGACCAGATAGTTGGACTGGTTGGCCCAAAAACCAGTTAGGCAATCAGTTCTGTTTCATCTAAAACCATTAATGGGAAAAAATCGTTGATGGTCAGTGACCTGTTGACATAAACAACGACAGTTTTATGGCTATTTTTATTATAATTATTTTTTACTTTAAACCAGAATAGGCTATTCATTTGAATTGAACGATTGAACCGTTTAACCCAGGAATCGGTGGCTAAAACGGTTCGTGTCCAATCCGATTTAAAAAAAAATCCCTGTCCCTATACTTATGGGTAGATATGAGTAGCGTTCTTGCATCCGGGGAAGTGGTAAGGGATCCGGTATTCATTAACATACATTAGAGAGGGGAGTTTGGAGTTTTGACTTTTGACTCGTCAATATTCTTTCCGAAATCGACTTTGATGCTCTCAAGACCGACATTGGGATATCTTAATTAAAAAAATATATAAATACGAAGATATTTCCAATGAACGGTTCGAAAGGCTGTGCGAACGGTGTAAGCATGCTCTTGTGAGTACTGAAGCCGTGTCCTGTATGATACCTCTCCGGCATCAAGATAACAAGATTTTCGCTACGATTTATGAATTTATTGTTTTTTTTTTTCGCTACGATTTTTCTTATAAATAAAATAAATAAATAAAATTCGAGGGCTAAAACGCCTTGCATCCGCGGGATCTTTTTATAAACATTTCCAAGTCCTCTCTCCTCCGCCACCGTAAACTGAAACTCGAGAAGCCATAGCCATGGCGATTAGGCAGCTCTTAACTCTAGCTCGTAGATCCCACAAACCCTCATCTTTATCTCCCCGCGCTCTTCTGCAATCCAGTCGATCTGCATCGACTTCTCCCGCCGTCGCAACTGCACCATCTCCTCCAGCTCCTAATGTCATGGTCTACGATCGACTCGCAGAAGCAGTGAAACAGAGGCTCAAGCGACTCGACAATCCCGATCCTCGTTTCCTCCAGCACGCCTCGCCCCATCCAGTCCTTGTTGATCACACGAAGATCCTGGCGGCTCCTGAGACTCGCGTTACAACTCTCCCTAATGGCCTCCGAGTCGCTACCGAGTCGAACCTGGCATGTCGGACTGCAACTGTTGGCGTGTGGATCGATGCCGGGAGTAGGTTCGAAACCGATGAGACGAACGGCACTGCGCATTTCCTTGAGCACATGATATTCAAGGGCACGGAAAAGAGGTCAGTTAGGGTTTTGGAAGAGGAGATTGAGAACATGGGAGGGCATTTGAATGCGTATACCTCCAGGGAGCAGACGACGTATTACGCTAAGGTAATGGACAAGGATGTTCCCAAGGCACTCGATATCCTTGCTGATATATTGCAAAATTCTAGCTTTAGCGAGGACCGGATCAATCGTGAGCGGGATGTTATTTTGCGTGAGATGGAAGAGGTATAGACATTATGTCTTTGTTGTTGCTTTCTTTCTCTTTCTCTCTCTCTCTCCTCCTGGTTTCGCCTGATATATTGCACGGTATTTGGATTAATTCTCGTGATCTTGTGCTGAGATTTGTCACTGGGACTTGCATGGGTTAGTGAATTGCTCTTATTGTTTTATTCCGGAGGGATTTCTTATGCTTGATAGCATAAACGCAAAAGGTCATTCAAGGAACTGCGAAAGTGGTCCGCACAGCTCAGAGGCTTCAGGAGAGGAGAACAAATAGCGGATTGGGACAGCAGGATAATATTTGAAGGCATATGCATTAACAGTGGATGCCACTTTACAGTGGAATGACAAAGAATTATTCTTTAACGAAATCCGTAAATACTAGGTGCAGGGGTTGGACGATGTTGATGACAGTGTATCCCGAGTATGATTCCCGCCCACACCCAAACCACCTCTGCTTCAGGAAAAAAAAAGAAGTGGTTGCTTCTATATGCTGAATTTTCTGTTTCCCGTCTATTGTGCACGTAGTTTGTCACCGTTGTCCTTGTTCTTGGGGGTAATTGATCTTCTATTTTTTTCACGTGAAACAATTGCTTATACTATTTTGGTGAGCAGGCTAATTTCCGGCAAAATGACCCTAACAGATAAGTGCATTATAATACTCATAAAGATTCTCAACAGTAATGTATTTCATTTGTTTTTCCTAAAATTAAGCCTATAGCCATTTTTAGATGTTCATCCAGAAATGCTAATGCCTTTAGCCCTGATTGCCCTCCTTGTTCTTAGTGTTTTATTTGTGTTGCTATTCGGGAAACTTTAATGGTTGGCTGATCGACTGTATTAGATAAATAAACTAATACCAGATATAGAAAAGGGATGCAGCAATGGAGGAAGAATTAGCACTACAACAGAGACATGTCAAAACAGAACCAGCTGAAGGGATGCAAATTTCTATCTCAGTGATACTTTATTCCTGAATTTGTTTAAGAAAAGTATTTGCTCTTGAAAAAGCTTACATAGAACCCCTTTATAAAATGGAAGGGTGACACAAGAATAGAGAGGAAAAATCACACTGAACATATGCCATTAAATACTTATAGTTACACATGTGAGCTATGATACACATGAACATGGTTGTATCTAGTGCAGCTTGTACAAGTGGACTTAAATGGCCTCAAGTTGGGCTAACTAACTCTAAGACCCTTGGCATATATATTCATATAAGGGCTTCTTTCCAAAGTGAAAAACAATAGCCTAATGCAAAACTACATTATTAGCAAGAATTTTCTTTTATTTTTTGGTAATTGTATCTGACAAAAGAGAGGCTATGCTTAGATGACCCTTATTGTCATCATCTGTGATACCCTTTGCTCTTAATTTTCGTGGGGAAGGCCATTCAGAGAGCTAAACTGTTTATAATTGCATATTAGATATTTGGATGCTCCAATATACATGGAAACATGGATTTACTTTTATTAAAATAATTAATAGTTCTTGTCTTCTTTTAGTATTTCTCTTAGTCACAATTGAGATCTGTGATGGTCAAAATTATAATATTTTACATTTTTCTGTCTTATAGGTGGAAGGGCAGGCTGAGGAAGTTATTTTTGATCATTTGCATGCAACTGCCTTCCAGTACACTCCATTGGGTAGGACTATCTTGGGACCTGCCCAGAATATTAAGACAATCACCAAAGCTCATCTACAGAATTACATCTCAACACATTACACAGCTCCTAGAATGGTACTTATCTTGAGCCAGGGAGGCATTTCTTTCATTTTTTCTAATTAAATGAAAGTGGATCAGTTGGTTAAAGTGATTTTTTTTTCCTTACTAATAGCTTCATGAGTCAGAATTTTGGGGTTCAACTGCATGGCTAATTTTTTCCTGGACATTTATTTCAGGTAATTTCTGCTGCTGGAGCTGTTAAACATGAGGATATTGTTGAGAAAGTAAAGACACTCTTCACAAAGCTCTCAACTGACCCTACTACTGCTTCTCAGTTGGTTGCAAAAGAACCATCAGCCTTTACAGGCTCTGAGGTATGGATGTTATGTTTGTTGGGTGATGTGTTTCTATTCGTCTGTGAGATATATTTCTTCTGCCAATAAATTTTAAATTTCCACCATTGCTTCATAACAACCAGATTCGGATAATTGATGATGATGTTCCTCTTGCACAATTTGCTGTGGCGTTCAGTGGAGCTTCTTGGACAGATCCAGATTCAATTGCTTTGATGGTCATGCAGTCCATGCTGGGTTCATGGAATAAGAATGTGGGAGGAGGAAAGCACATGGGGTGAGTGTTCAGTTATATCATTTTGCCAGTTCATGTTTGCAATTGGGGCTTTTTTGCTTGGTCATTGATCTCAATAATTTATAAACAGATCAGAGCTTGCACAGAGGGTTGCCATTAATGAAATAGCTGAGAGCATGATGGCTTTCAACACTAACTACAAGGACACAGGCCTGTTTGGTGTTTATGCTATTGCCAAGGTGAGGCGCCCCAGGTCGTTTTCAATTTCTTTTCCTACTTATGTTAGATCATGATTGTTATTCTGTAGATTGTAGCCATGTGAACTGCATTTGGTTTTGTTTGTTCTTTTCTTTTTCTTCTTTTGATAAGCATTAGATTCTCGGTTTTCATGATACACATTCGGCCTTCTAAATAGTTTGGAGGGCCAACTTTATTCTGTAATAACCTTTTGATATGTTGAAACTTTCTTCAAATTGTGTTACATTCTCAACATTGGCATTGCCATGTTTGTATACTCTTCATATTTGAGTTAAAATATCTTGCCTGTTTAGTATTGGAGGGGCATCCTTCATTTAACATAACAGAGTTGGAATTTATGTGGGCCAATATGTTCTGGGGAGTTAGGTACTTTTGATGAGATTGATTCATAGTTAAAAGAAATACGCCTTATTTTCATGTAGTTACCTAAGTGGAAGCAAATGGTTGAAGGAAAACAGGTAAAACAAACTTGAAGGCTGTCGTTGGATCAGGATGGGAGAGAAGAAAGATTGGATGGAAAGAAGTTTTGAAGAGTTGGAAATAAAAGAGGCAGTCTTTAGCATGGATGGAGACAAGGCACCAGGCCTTGACGGTTTCCCTTTATTCTTTTTCCAAAAATGCTGGGATATTGTCAAAGAAGGTTCCTTTCATTCTTTAGAGATTTCCACTCCTCAGCTATAGTAAACAAAGGCCTAAATTCAACCTTTCTGTGCTTATTCTCAAAGAAAGGGGGAGTTTTGGAAGTGAAGGACTTTAGGCCGATAAGCCTAGTCGGATGTGTGTATAAAATCTTGGCCAAAGTTCTAGCAAGAAGACTGAAAGAAGTGCTGCAAGACTTGATCTCTCCGAATTAGTTTACCTTTGTGAAAGGAAGACAAATTGTGGACAGTATCTTAATTGCAAATGAGTGTGTAGAAGACAGAAATGCCAGCGGACTGCCAGGGGTTCTAGTCAAGTTAGACCTTGAAAAGGCTTATGATAAAGTTAATTGGGAATGTATCTTGGACTGCTTGAGTCTGAGAGGCTTCGGTAGGAGATGGATCAGTTGGATCAAAGGCTGTATTGGTTCATCCTGGTTCTCAGTGCTTCTAAACGGAGAATCCAAGGGCTACTTTAAGGCAAGTCGAGGACTTAGACAAGGTTGCCCTCTCTCTCCTCTCCTCTTTACTTTAGCGATGGATATCTTCAACTTGCTATTGGACAAAGCCAAGGTTCTGGGCTTGATCAAGGGTTTTGAAGTGGGAAGAGATCAGGTCCAGGTTTCTCTCTTACAATTTGCTGACAACATCATCCTATTCTTGGATGCATCATTGGAAAATATCTTGAATGTGAAGAGGGTCATCGAAGCTTTTGAATTAGTTACCAGGTTGAGGGTTAATTTCAGCAAATCCAACATTATTCCTATTAACTTAGTCGAAGAAAGTCTCATAGAGAATATCAAAGAGATTCTGAATTGTAAAGTGGAAAGCCTTCCCATTACCTACCTTGGAATGCCCCTGGGAGGTAACCCAAGATCTCTAAACTTCTGGGACCCAGTGGTGGAGAAATTTGAAAGGAAATTAGCCTCTTGGAAAAAAGGTTACCTATCAAAAGGGGGCAGACTGATTCTCCTAAAGGCCTCTCTAGCAAACTTACCAACTTGCTACTTTTCAGTCTTCAAAATTCCTCCAAAAGTGTGAGACTTTACTTAGAGAAAATCCAAAGAAATTTCCTTTGGGATGGAGGAGGGGAGAATAGAAATCACTTGGTAAGTTGGGACCAAGTGTGTAAGCTGAAGGAGGAGGGAGGATTGGGAGTTGGGCATTTAAAAGAGAAGAATATCTCTCTCTTGAGCAAATGACTATGGAGATTCCCCACTGAATCCGATACTCTTTGGGCAGCTGTATCTCTAGCAAGTATGGAACAAATGCAAATGGGTGGGATAGTAATCTTCAGTTGAACCTGGCAAAGAACTCAACGCCTTGGAAAGATATAGTTTCCTCTCACTCATCCTTCATTCCTTTCATTAGACTCAAAGTGGGAAACGGAAATAAAATAAAATTCTGGAAAGATCTCTGGTGGGGGGATTCCACCATAGCTGAATCCTTCCCTAGAATCTTTAATCTCTCCTCAATTCAAGACTCAACTGTCTCCTCTTGCATTCCAGCCTTACCTGCTGACACCAATTTGACTCTAAACCTGAGAAGACCTTTGAAGGAAATTGAGATCTTAGACCTTTTAAACCTCTTCCTTACCCTAAAAGAAGTCTATCTCTCCCCTCATCCCTCCGATACCCGAATCTGGACCTTAAACCCAAATGGTGTGTTCTCTTCCAAATCTTTGTTTAAGGCTATTCTTGCAGGTGACCAGACTTCCTCTTTCCCTTTTAAGAGGATATGGAGCAGCCATATTCCTCTAAGGATCTGTTTTTTTGTTTGGGAAGTGTGTCTACAGAGAATAAACACTTGTGATCTTCTCCAGAAGAAAAGCCAGGGAAGGTGTTATATCTCTCCTCATGTATGTGTGCTTTGCCTAAGAGAAGGGGAATCAGCAGATCATCTACTCATTCATTTTGTAGCTTTTCTCAAAAGATATGGTGGCATTTCTTAAACCTGTTAGGCTATAGTTGGGTCTCTCCCAAACACATTCAGGAGTTTCTCAACCAGTGGTATGGGTCAGGTTTGAGCAGAAGAGATTAAGTGTATTGGCAAACCATGGTTCATGCAGTCTTGTGGGGAATTTGGGAGGAAAGAAACAGGCGTATTTTTGAAAACTGATCTAGATCTCTAGAGGACCTAATCGTAGATATCTTCTTCTGTTGTAACTCATGGGCTGTTAACAGTGAGATGTTTCAAGACCTATCCCTTAATGATCTTAACAGAAATATCCAATCGATCCTACTTCTCCCAAGTCACCCTCAACCAACCAAAAGTCTTCAGCTTCCTCAAATTGAAGCAGGGATGATTCCAAATTTTGATGGGAGTGCTGCAGGCAATCCGGGAAAAGCTGGGATAGGTGGAATTTTGAGGGATGAACAGGGACTGATTTGTTAGGTGTTTAGTGGTCCATTAGGTATTACAGACTCGACAAAGGCTGAAGTGGTGGCAGCCCTCACTGGTATCAGAATCATAAAAAACCTAGGCATTCAGAAATTATCCATAGTAGGAGATTCAGCCAATACCATCAAATGGTTGAACGAGAAGGAGGGGGGCCCATGAAGGTTGAGTCATTACCTGTCAGAGGCAAGAGACACCCTGGAAAATTTGAATGTTATTCTGAAGTGGATCCTGAGGGAGATGAACCATATTGCTGATGGATTAGCTAAATTGGGAGCGAACCTAGAAAATTTATATAGCAACAAGCTTCCCCTCTTGTAATTTTGTATTTCTGTTGTTTTCTCTTTTAGTACACCTACTCATGTACTTATTATCTCTATCAATGAAATCTGGTTAGCTTTTTCTCAAAAAAATGGAATGTTTTTTTTTTAATCTTTTGTGATTGTTGACAAGTTTTTGGATTCTACTCTTTTGTTCCAACTTCCAACTGTGTAGTGGGGTGGAATTTGGGAACTAGTTAGTATGATATTTTGAAGATGTAGTCTTGGGCAGGGAGGCTACACATTTGAATTGTCCTGATTTTGAGCTAGGGTCCCCCATTTTTCTGTTACTCTATCTCAACTATGTATTCATTTTCTGGACATAAATATACCATCAGACATAGTTCAATTGCATTCTGATTTTACTATTTGTGTTTCTATACTCCACTTACCCTTTCATATTTTAATTTTGTGTTCAGCCTGATTGTTTGGATGATCTAGCCTATGCAATTATGTATGAGATAAGCAAGCTGTCTTACCGAGTCTCAGAAGCTGATGTTACTCGTGCTCGAAATCAGGTAATTATTTTTACTCATTTATTGTTGTCTGTTTGATAGGCCTTTGTTGCTTGTTGTTGTTTATTTCATAGGCCTTCTACTTTCTTTCAAATGGATTAACTGAGTAATTGATTTTGTGCATATTTTCTAATGCAAGAAGTGCTTGTGATATATCGGTTTGCATTAAAGCAGCTGGTAGTTGAAATATGATACATCTCATCCTTGAATATACCATATTCATTTGCTGCTTCACGATTTGCTCATCTTATTGAAGCTGATTAGTTAAGTTGGAATCATAAATAACGTGAACATTCTTGCATCTTCTTAGTCTCTGGGTTTACAGTGCTTATGATATGAGATGTGGCATTATTGATGATTCCAACTTATTACTTCTGTAACAAGATTAGAGTGGGTTTACAGCAATTAAGAAGAGATCAGATCAGACCTTTTTCTGTAGTGTAGTCTCCCTGTCATTTTAGTGTAATGTAGCCACTGACATGTTTGCTGTTTTGCAGTTGAAATCTTCTTTGCTCCTTCACATTGATGGAACCAGTCCAGTTGCTGAAGATATTGGACGTCAGGTAGGATCCTTATTTGAAAACTTGTTTGAAATAATATGGATTAAGAGTTAAGACAATCATGGCATATAGAAAATTTGGAGCCCAATAATTCTTTATGGGCCATTTTGCTCATTACGTGTTTCCTATGATGAAAAATTCCTGATAAGCCACCTTTTGTATGGGATTTGGTTTTGGTAGTCACAGTAGCTAAATTGCAGCACAATTTAGGTTATTCTAAGTTTCTACCCCTCTGGTAAACAACCATTTTCATGGACAATTTTGAGGAAACTATTTGCCTGGTATCAGGTCAACTGGTAGCCTATTCAATGCTTGTACTTTCCATGCATATATTTGCTTGAAACAGTGTGTTCTGGTTTGAAAGATGTGGCCCGGATAGCCACAGCAGGATGGCTGCATATTCATATTTATAATGTGCTTTGTTAGCCCTCCCCAAACCCTATAACCTTGCAAACCCTGCACTAGCTGGTAAAATGGTTTTTGATGCAGATTCAATCCAAATCCATGTAAGAATTAATATTACAGTTGCTACTTGCTTTCATGTAGATATATGTAAATATATGCTTTTATAATTTGTTATGTGCGTGCTTGCAGCTACTTACATATGGGAGAAGAATCCCATTTGCTGAACTGTTTGCAAGGATTGATGCAGTGGATTCAAGCACCGTAAAACGTGTTGCAAACCGGTTTATATTTGACAAAGTAAGGACTAAGGACTACGTTTTAGAATGATTAAAATTTTTGTGCCAACTATGTCTTCATTCAGTGAACCCTCTATTGCCATGCCTCCTTATCTCCACTTGGGTGTTTGCAGGATGTTGCGATCGCAGCAATGGGTCCGATCCAAGGTCTACCTGACTACAACTGGTTCAGGCGCAGGACCTATTGGAACCGTTACTAGGTTATTCTTTTTTTTTTTCTTGCGTCATTATTTATCTTCCATTTTCAAGATGTCTCATAAAACCAGGCTCCCATCGCTTTATACATATACACTCCCTTGGCCTTCGGTGGCTGGTATTTTGGGATCTTGTTTTTTGTAACATCCCCCCATTTTGGTGAAAGGAATAATTGTTAAAAATGTTTCAATAACGTAACTGTGCTTTGTTAGGCACTGTAACTCTCTTTATCTACCTTGCTTATGCCTCTAATTTGTGCTGTTTTGATCAATAATTGAACTTTGGATTGGAATGTTAAGTATTAAGGGAGAGGCGTGACACTGTCACGGGGCTAATCGACGGGGTCCCGTGCGGCGCTCGATTGGGGTTGAGATAGCTTACAAATGCAAGCAATAACACACAAAAGGAAACAAAAGTGCATACAAATTAGACAAAAGGTAACTTGTATTGCATTAATCAGTGGTAAGTACAAGCACACAGTACAGTGTTGAGGGGATCTCGTGCTTAACCTTTACACGCTTGTGAGCTCACTCGATTACCTACCTCCTCTCAAAGAGTACGTTAAGCTTTTGGGAGAGTGATAAAATGATACATCAAAATATTGTACATGCATATTACTATTTACATAATTGCCATTGGCATACCCCCCTTACAAAAAGAGTACAAGGACCCAACCCAAACACTTAAATGGCGTGTTGATGGCGCTAATGGTGGCTGAACCGTCACAATCTCCCCCACTCAATTCAATCTTTGTCCTCAAAATTTCTTCCTCAGGTACTCGTCCAGTTTCATTGCGAATGGAAGGTCTTCTACAAGTTTCTAGGTGTTTTCTTCTACAGGTCCCTTCCACTTCATCAGGTACTCCCATTCTGATGTTTGGGAGGATTGGGACAACCTATGGTTGAGGATGGAGTCGAGGGATCGGTTCTTGGGTGGTTGGTAGGAAGGGTGTGGGCGTTGACTTTGGTTTCGGGAGGTATCTTGGTTGTCGGCATGGTAGGGTTTAAGTTGGTTTACATGAAAGACAGGGTGTACTTTTAGCCATGGAGGTAGTTTGAGTCTGTAGGCTGAAGCTCCTACTTTGGCTAGGATTTCACAGGGTTCATCGTATTTTCTCACAAGCCCGGGGTGTACTCTTTGAAATTACCTAAGGCAATGGGTATGGAGTTTTACTAAGGCTAGGTCACCTACTTGGAAGTTCTCGGGTCGTCTACCCAAATCGGCCCATTTCCTCATTCTTTTGGAGGCTTTCTCTAGGGAGGCTCAAGTGATGTCAAGGCATCTTTTCCATTACCTGGTGAAAGTGAAGGCTCGAGGGCTTCTTCTTTGATGGTTGTTGACGATGCTGTGCGGACATCTTGGTAGTTGGCCGGTGATGACTTCAAAAGGACTTTGATTGGTGGA